GAAACCAAAGGCGAGCGGCACAGATCAAAGTCACGTCGGGCATGTCCTCCCACATGCGGATTCTGGAAGAAAAACAAGAAGTAGTCAGAGAAATACTCAAAAACAGTCGAAAGTCGTCCCTGGACTATTGTTTAATCATTGTTTGACTAGTTTTTATTCTTCCCCCTGTAGAATGGACGTGCCCGGTTTGAGAATATAGAGGCCGAGGCGCGGGGCCGCGGGCTGCTTCGAAAACGGAGCAGCCCTCGGCGCCCTGGGAACCTCCGCGGCCCCAACAGGGGCCCCATCTCCTCCCTCCTCCTCCTCCTCCTCCTCCTCCTCCTCCTCCTCCTCCTCCTCCTCCTCCTCCTCCTCCTCCTTCTCCCCCTCCCCCTCCCCTCCCCTCCCCCTCCCCCTCTTCCTCCTCCTCCTCCTCCTCCTCCTCCTCCTCCTCCTCCTCCTCCCCCCTACGTGCTTCGAGAAACGGGCCCGAGCCGCAACCGTCGGGGCCGTCGAGGGCCCAAGCGCCGCGAGGGAGGAAAGGCCAGGGTGACAACCTTCCCTGGGCCTCTTCCTTGCTTGTGTGCGCCGACCCTCCAGAGATCTCCTCTGAACCCTTGCAGGTGCCAGTGAGACCTCTCTGCATCGGGGTGGTAGGATGAGAGAGAGGAGGAGGAGGAGGAGGAGGAGGAGGAGGAGGAGGAGGAGGACGAGGACGAGGACGAGGGTTGGAGAGGAGGAGGAGGGGGAGGGGGAGGACGGGGGAGGACGAGGAAGAGGAGGAGAAGGAAGAAGAGGAGGAGGAAGAGGACGAGGAGGAGGAGGCGAGCCTCGGGCCCGAAGGATTCGGGCCTGGGCCACACGCAGCAGCCGCGCTGGCAGGGCCGCCCCCGCGCCCGTTCCCATAACATTATATATATGTGCATACATACATACATACATACATACATACATGCATGCATGCATGCATGCATGCATGCATGCATGCATGCATGCATGCATGCATGCATACATACATACATACATACATACATACATACATACATACATACATACCTACATACCTACATACCTACCTACCTACCTACCTACATACATACATACCTACATACATACATACATACATACATACATGCATGCATGCATGCATGCATGCATGCATGCATGCATACATACATACATACATACATACATGCATACATGCATGCATGCATATACATATGTAAATATGTATATACATATACATACACATAGACATATATATATATACATATACACATACCTATGCATCTACATATGCATATACATATACATATACATATACACATGCATATACATATATATATGCGTATACATATACATATACATATACATATACATATGCATATGCATATTCATATACATATACATATACATATACGTATACATATATATACATAGATATATTACATATACATATACATATACATATATATATATATACATATACATATACATATACATATACATATGCATATACATACACACATATAAGAGAGAGAGAGACACAGAAAAAAGAAAAAAACTGAATGAATATATGTATATATGATGACCATGAGCCGCCATCGTCACGACTCTCATTTTCTTTGGCGGCTTTGCGACGGCACCCCCGACAGAGGGGGGGTCCCCGGCGGGGGTCCCAAGGGGGATCCCAAGGGGGGTGCCTGGTCAGATGCGACTCACCCCCGGGGGGTCCTGGGGCCCAAAAAAGCATCGTCGTCGTCGCCGCCACCGCAGTTGTCGTCGTTCTCCTTCAGGGTCGGCGGCACCAGCCGTAAGGCCTTGGCAATGTGATTTTCTTTGGCGACCTTGCGACGGCGTACATTATGGGGCAGATGCACATGTGGGCGGATCGAAAAAGCGACGCCTCCGAGACCGTAAAGTACACACATGGCGGTCCCACCGAGCCACACCGATGATGAGAGCAACGACCGGACACTCAGAAATGGGAGGGGGGCGCAGTTTCAGGGCGGACCGCAGCTCAATTCACAAACTCAAAGGGGGCATCATCAGGGCGCTTCTCGGCAATGAGATTTTGATATGGACCAATATTGCAACACGGGACTGTCAAAGTTCCAATCACATGGTTGGCATCGTCAGTGCGTGTCGCAACAATCAGAAATGGGTTTGGCACAGTTTCTCGGTGGCGGACTGATTAATCTACACACGCATTATGGGCGTCATCAGTACGCCTCTCGGCTTGTACTACCGCCCAGCCTTCACATGATCATCTTGGCAGAGAGGTCCTCCGCCGCCGCCCTCCTCTCCCAGTCTGCCACAAGATAACGGCGCAGTCTTGAGGCCATCTGACACGACTATTCAGTTTCACTCCGACTGAGAAATTCTTGAAACCTTGCTTCCGAGGTCGACCCGTGTTAATTCAGAAGCTGGACAGCATGCCGACACGTTGGATACCAACGTCTGTTACGCTTTTGACATCAGCTCAGCAGTTGAAGCAGCTGCAAGGGAAGGCGGAGGCCCCGAGGCGCTGCCCACTGCATCCTCGAAAATCCACAACTACACTGAAGCCAGGAAGTCTAGATGCGCAAGAGTCAGAGGACGACATGGGTCTCAACAAAAAAACATTGTTGTACCACATTTTCGAACTAACTATTGTGTAAGTACTGTCGTCACCACAGCCGGCGTACCACTATTTGCCCGATGCGTACGGCAAGATGTGTGATGAAGTAGACGGCATTCAAAGTTTGTATACTTCGTACCATCAAGCCAGTGGAATTATCCTAGCAAAAAGGAAGCCATGTGAACACGCATGGCAACACCGCACCAATCCATATCGGCACGCCTCGTACGCTTCGTGGCCCCAAGCCCCACCGAGGGCCCTAGTGGCTGCGCTCGCATGGCACAACCGCACCCATTTAGGCACACCCGTCACAAGTTTCGCGACCACATATGGGCGCTCCACCGGGGGCCACAATGGCTGCGCTCGCATGCCGCCACCGCGCCCCTTTCGGCACAGCTTCGTGGTCCCATGAGGAGCTCCACCGAGGGCCCCAGAAGCTGCGCTCGCATGTCAACACCGCATGCATTTCGGCACACCTCTCACAAGCTTCGTGGCCCCAGAAGGAGCTCCACCGAGGGCCCCAATGGCTGCGTGACTGCGCTCGCATGGCACCACCACACCCATTCCAGCCCACCCATCATACGTCTTGTGGCACCAAAGGGAGCTCCATTGAAAGCGGTACCCACCACGCTGTAATCACAGTTGCACACGATCGCGCCCTGCGCCGGGACAGTTTTTGGGGAGGCATCCGTGTGGCCGCCTTACTTTTGAGTTCGAGTGCTCTTGCTGGAGCATTGGCGGAAGATGTGGAGGTGGTGAGGACGAGTTGGGTGGCTGGGACGTCTGGAGGGCTCTTGGCGTCAGATGGTGGTGAGCGTGCTGACCGCCAACGATACGGCACTGAGCGCGTCGACACCCCGCAGGCAGGCTCAGGCATGAGCCTGACCTGACTCATCTGAGACCCTCTGCGAGGGCAGCGTGGAGGAGACAATGATGAGGATTACTGGCGGCGCGCCCAGGGGGGAAGTGAGAAGGGGCGGGTCTTATCAGAAGGCTCGGAAGTCTCCCGGCCTTCTAAGAAGTTTTCTAAGCCTTCCCCGAAGACGCAGGAAACCTCTCAGAAGGCTGGAGGGCTTCTGAGAAGTCCCGCCGCCAGGGCCTTCTCCTTCTCACTTCCCCCGCTCGCTCGCCGCCGAGATTAGATACAGGTGGAGGTGGCACTCCGCGAGGGCAGTACTCACGGGCATCTGTACATCGGCCCATCCTTGACTACTGCCAGGGCATCGTTATACATGGGCCCCGCCATCCTCGATGAACGTTCAGGGCATTGTATCATTGGCCCTGCACTGTAGCGCGCCACCGCAGGCGCCAGCACTATCACGATAGGGGTGGGACTCAGAGGAGAGGAGGAGGATTGAGATGGTGTTGGTGATGGAGGATCAGGGCCTCGTTCCACAGGCCACCCCACCTCTGCATGTGTGCATTGCGGAGTTGTGCGTGCCGCCGCCTTAAACCTTTCAGGGGGAGGAGGTGGTCGTGGCACCGTTGCAAAGGGGGGGATGGGCATCACCTTGCCGACGCCTGCAAATCTAATACTCTGTGCCCTCGCGGGCTCTCCACTGCTCCGCCTCTCTTCGCACTCCGTGCACCGCTCAGTCTGCACGCAAGCGGTTCTGCTACACTTCTTCTTGCCACCAGACAGCCCATACTGCCAGAGCCCGCAGGGACGCAAAACCCGGCGGCGACAGCGAGGAGGGGCAGTGAGAAGCGAAGGCATCCTCCAGAAAGCGGCGGGACCTCTCAGAAGCCCCCCGGCCTTCCGAGAGGCAGCTCTTCCCTGTGTCTTCGGGGCACGCCCGGCACACTTCTCGCCTCGGAAGGCCGGGGGGCCTGTCTCCGAGCCTCCTGCGACGGCCCGCCTCTTCTCGCACGCCCGGTGGCCCCGCTCGGGGCGACGCGGGCACCCCCGGAACGCCCTCGGCGAGGCGCGGCTGCTGGAGGGCATCCCGAGGCAGGAGATGCTGCCGAGAGCCGACGACGACGCCCGAAGACCTCGCACCTCGAAACGCCCGAAGCGCCCGGAGCGCCCGAAACCTCCCCCCCAGGAGGAGGCCGCGTCGTCCGCGGCGGCAGGCGCCCCCAGAATCGGATCGATGAGTCGCTCGGCGATGCAACTGCATCGGATCGGCGGAAATATCGGCAGCCGCGGCGGGCAGAGTCGAGCCGGCAGGAATCGGCAGGCGGGTAGCCCTCCCTCGAGACATCGGAGCCCCAGAGTCGGGATCCGGAGCCCGAAACAAATCGGAATCGGAGGCCATGGAAGTCGGATCGGAGCCGAAACAAATCGGAAACAAATCGGGATCGGGATCCGGAGCCGAAACAAAGCGGAACCGGAGGCCATCGGAGGCGGACCGGAGCCGACGCGGAGGAGCCGAGACGAGCCCTGGCGGGGCGGGGGGGCCTTCGGCGTCCGAGCCGCCGCTCTCGGCCCAGGGCGGGGTGGGCTCCCAGCCGCCGGCGCCCTCCTCGAGGCCCTCCACCTGCCGCGGCGCGCGCCCCCTACGCGCCCCTTCGCGTAGCTCGGGCGTGTCCTCCGACAGAGGGCGCACTGCGGGCGAAAAGGCGACAGCTGCCAAGACAAGATCTCTCAAGAGAGCAGAGGAACAGACGCGCCCGACGTTTCAATCGACCCCAGAAGGCACGACTGCCCACGCTGGACATGAGCCGGCGCCTGCCTGCCGCTGCGGTCCGGAGCTCCTGGCCAGCGTATCGCGACGGCGGCCCCGGCGACAGGCCCTGCGCCCTGCGAGCGGATGGCGCGTCGCTCCGCCCAGGCGGGGGGGGGCGGCTGAGAACGGCTCGGACCGTCGGTGCTCGGGGACCAGAGGAGGAGGAGGAGGAGGAGGAGGAGGAGGAGGAGGAGGAGGAGGAGGAGGAGGCGGCGGAGGCGGAGGAGAAGGAGGAGGCGGAGGAGCAGGAGGAGGCGGAGGAGGAGGAGGAGGAGGAGGAGGAGGAGGAGGAGGAGGACGTGATTAGCGTGTCGCGCAGTGCTCCAGAATCGGCGGCGCGACGCGGCTGAACCATAGAGCGTGACGGCACACGATTGATCATGAGCCACGTCTGCATCGCAGAGCGAGGGGGGGGGGCTGGGAAGGGGCATGCCCCTCCATGACAAAAACCTTGCCCCATCATCGCCGCCATCATCGCCGCCTCGACGTAACGTTGCACCTTCGGGGGACCTGATCTGTCCCATCGCGCCAGCTATCCGCGTGGATCCGCGCCGAATCCGCGTCGAATCGGCGTGAACTCCACGTCGGATCTGTGCCGGATCCGCGTCGGAGCCGCGTCGGGCACAAGAGAATAGACGAGCGCGTTCCACTACTCGAAAGGTAACTGCTCGCAAATGGCCTGGATCCACCGCAGGGGATCTACGATAGTTCGCATCGAAGCAAGCATTTGTTCTTCGGACGTTTGCGAGTAGGCACTTTACGAGTAGTGGAACGTGCTCGGCGAGAGCAGACCCCGCAGGCAGCAGGACCAACGAGCCCCCCCCCCCCGAAGCTGCAGCGCATCGACGGGCTCCGCGCTGCCGCCCCCCTGTAAGACGACGCCAAGATCGGGGCAAAAGCGGCCCGGGACATGTCGGGCTAAGTCGGGCCTGTCCCTCTACAGGAAGAATATCCAAAAATCACACAGAAAAAAACTGGGGACGATTTGTCGCTTCTTCTGTCTCGATCAGTTCTGATTATGTTTTACCCTTTCCCCATGCTTGCCAAAAATCGGCCTGTAGGAGGACACGACCGAGCTGAATGTCGGGGGCCTCTGCGAGCCAGCGTCGCCAGAGGACTGCATCAGGCGCCCTGCCCCGCTTCTGAGGCGAGGCCAGAATCGGGGCAGCATCGGATCGGGAAGCGTCGGGGACCTCTGAGATCCGGCGGCTCCGGGGGATGCGTCGGGCGCCGTGGCCACCCCAGACCGTTCTGGCAAGCTCTGGAGCGATGTCTCTCCCTGGGAAGGGTCCCTCCTCCCCACCTGGCAGGGCTGGCAGCCTCGACGCAGTGCCAGCCTGGGAGAACGCATCGCCGCCGTCATGGTCTGGCGGCCTATCCCGATCCCAGTCCTGCCTGGCCCCCTGCCCCACCCCCTCCCCCCGCGCCCGTCCTCCCCTGGGTCTCCCGAGTTCGCGGAAAGCCAGCGAAACTTGGGCAAAAGCGAAGTTCCCTGCGTTCCGCTCCCCAGGGTCAGGACGGGACGCCTCCATGGCCGATCGAGCCAAGCCCGCCTGGGCTCGGACGGGCAGTCGTGGTGCGCCCAGAAGCCGCCAGGGTCTTGCACCCCCAGACCTTCAGTGAGCAGTGCGCGGGTCCAGGTTGCGCGATGCTCAGCATTTTCGTATCAGCCTTTTCCCCTTCCCTTCTCTCCTCCTCCTCCTCCTCCTCCTCCCTCCTCCTCCTCCTCCTCCTCCTCCTCCTCCTCCTCCTCCTCCTCCTCCTCCTCCTCCTCCTCCTCCTCCTCCTCCTCCTCCTCCTCCTCCTCCTCCTCCTCCTCCTCCTCCTCCTCCTCCTCCTCCTCCTCCTCCTCCTCCTCCTCCTCCTCCTCCTCCTCCTCCTGCTCGTCCCTCTGCCTCCCCTTCTCTTCCGCGGCAGGGTTTGAATGGATCCCTATGCCCACTGGCATGGCCTTGGCCCTACCTGGCCGACGTGCCCACCCGGGAGGGAAGAGGCGCATGCTCCCTCGGCTTTCGCGAAGCCTGCCCCCCACCTGGAGACGTGGGCTGGCGGGGCGGAGATATCATGGCCCAAGAGGAGGCGGCAGAGAAGGCCCCGGCAGGCGCACCTCTCAGTTCCGGGGCCTAGACCCCGCCGCACGGCGTGCTGGTCCTGGGGTTGGTGCTCCGGCCGCGGCAGAGACAGGCGCGCGACGCCAGGAGAGGAGCAGGAGGAGGAGGAGGAGGAGGAGGAGGAGGAGGAGGGGGAGGGGGAGGGGGAGGAGGGAGGGGAAGAGGGGGAGGGGGAGGAGGAGGAGGAAGAAAAAGGTGGA